TAGTACCTAACTCTAAAAACAAATAAAAGATTTTCTTAATTTTCATTTCTTTAAATATCATAGAAACCATAAATAATAAAATGGACGCTTCCTGATAGGTTGAAATCTTTTATTCCTTGTTCTTATTGCCTACGCTTTTCATTTTGTTTCCAGCTTTACTTATTTCACGCATGCGCACTTCATTTTGGACAACATAAAAGGAGAGTTGCGCTACTGTATATACTGTGCCTGAGATTTTCTCTCTGATAAAGAGCGAATGCTACAAAAACACGATAAGTAAACGCCATCTAACACAAAGCTCGCGCACCAACAACAGCACAGCGTTGCGGTAGTCGGTGTCCAACAATCATGGCGTCTGCCAAGTAACAACGCTCCACGCCGCGTTAACGAGTGCCTTACGGTTTTTAGGTTGATGTTATCACGTCGCCGTGCTTATCACTTTGCGTTACGCGCCAGCGACCCGTTTTCTACGTTTTTCTACATTTTTCTACTTGTAGAGGCGCAGCCCGAGTCTCTCTTTAGCAGATCTTCCTCCCACTGCAACGGAGGTGTGCAACTAGTGCATCCGCGGCGGCGGCGGCGGTGGTTCGCGACAGCGGTTCATCGCGGTGAGTCACGGAGGCTCGTGCACGTACGCACTTGAGAATCATGAGTTTGCTAATTGACAGTTAATTGAAAGCTAACTATTATCCATTAGGATCCACAGGCTAATTGAGACGTTTGCGCGAAAAGAGAGCTGATCATGATCGGCAGACCGGTGCCGATTTCTCGTGTCCGCTTTCTTGTCTCGCGAATCCGATCCGTCGTTTCGCACTGCCTTTCTTCGGGCGATGACTGTTACTCAACATCCTGGTCTTTTTTCTTATCATACGATCGCGAATAGGCACGACAAAGCGATCAAATCAGTGTACCGCACGTCCGCATGTCAATCACGTCCGTGGGAAAGTCGAATTTTGTATCGTTATGTCATATCCTAATCGTTGAGTGTTTTTACGGTGATCTGTATTTTTTTTTTCTTTACATTTATTAATGATAATTGCATTATGATTAATTTAAACCCGATATAGTGATCTTGAGTTTTTATGTTGTTTATTTACTATAATTGTTTGGTTGGATCGTTGTATTTTCAGAATAGGAGACCATTGTTTTGAAAATGCCTACACAGACGGCAGAGAACGATGACATTCGAGTGAAAATTATATATAATGGGTAATATATGTTGTTATAAAAACTGTTTTAAACAGCTTGTTTTCGATTTTACAAAATAACAGTTAATTTCTTTCGAGTTTTAAATTCATATTATTTTGATTTCAATATATCTTTTAACAATTATTCATATTGATTTTTAATCAATCATATTGATTATTAATCTTTTGGAGCTGATAATACACCAATTACTGGACTCACTCTATAAATTATAAATTTTTTTATCAAAAATATTAATTCCATTTTATTATATCTGCAGATTTGAATTATTATTAAAATATATTTGATTCTTAAAAAATTAAAAAAAATTTTTTTTTTAACATTTATTTAGTATTCTTTTTATTATTATTTTAATATACAAGTTATATATTTATAATAACTTGAAATTAATTAGTCTTTTTTAATTAACAAATTAAATAGGTTTTATAGAAATCAATAACTGTGTTTTGGATTTTGTTATCAGCTCCAGAGAGTTAATAACAAATATAATACACCAAGTGTCAAGATTAATTCAAAGAAAGATTAATAAGGGATATTTAAGATATTAATAAGATCGATAAGGATTATACAAGTCAAAAAAAAATAGGGAAGATTTTAAGACAAATATGTAACGTGACATTTTCCTGCATTAGGGAAATACAAATCACGTACATCACTCCCGGGATTTCAGTGGATGCATTGCGTGAGGAGATGCGAACGATATGTGGCTTCGGCACAGAACAATTCACGATGAAGTGGGTGGATGACGAAGGCGACCCATGCAGAATCGCCTCCCAGCAGGAATTGGATGAAGCGCTAAGGCTGTATGAACTCGAGAAGGACACAGAAATAACTATCCACGGTTAGTCAGGCTATTACATTGGATTTCTTTAAAATTTTATACATAAATAAAAAGCATAGGCAAAACAGAAATAATATAGGCAATAATATTTTAACTTATGAGAAATTGATATCAATTGATTCATAATTTCTTATATGTTGAAATCTTATTGCCTAGGTTCTTCTCTACTAATATAGACAGTAAGATTTTTGACTTATGCAAAAACCGTGTATCTACATTAAGAGAAGAATTTACTAAATTTTAATGAATTATAATATTTTCATAGTACTACTGAATATTTAAATGTAATTTCAATATATATTTATTTGATATAAAAATCATTAATTTGATTTAAATTATTTTTTTTTATTTAATATAAATATTTAGCGTAAGTAAATAAATTTTAAGTTAGTATTCTTCAAATAAATGTTTATTAAATTTAGTACATTACATTTTTCTTAATGTATTGATATTGAGTTTCTTATAGGTTGAAATCTTATTATTATTATTATATTATTGTGTTATTCTCTACTAATACAGGTAATAAGATTTTCAGTCTATGGGAAATCATGTATTTATTAGTATACAGTTTCCTATAAATTATAATCTTATTATCTGTGTCAGTCTCTACTAATACAGATAATAGAATTTTCAACCTATGAAAAATAATGTATCTATTGATACATATTTTTTATACATTGAAATCTTATTCTCTATTCTTATTGTCTATGTTTTTCATTATATATAAGGCTTTACGCACTGCACATTTCGCAAATATCTCGCATGTTGCTTTGATTCTAGCGACGCATTAATCGCTCAAAGACTGCGCATTTGCAATCGACGATAATCATTTGCATGCTAGGCACTTATATAATTAGGAATGGAGTACTCGTGAATCATGCGCGTAGAATCAGCGCCTGTATAACGAAGGCGCATATATATGTATGTGACAAAATAGGTTCATCGGTAATGTCCACCGATGTCTTTAATATTCCAACATTAATAGCCGCCATTTAGATAGGAAGTCGCCCATAAATTGCACCTAGTCGATATATCTTGACTGTGCATATTAGCAGTAGCGCACTAAATGCATGTGTGCAGCCGCATTTTCAAGTATTGATACGCGCCTTGGATAACGGTATGTACGCTTCGACGATACTCGCCTTATCGGTGGTTTATCATCGATATGAGTTGGCGATTAACGGCGAAATAGCTTCATCGGCGCCTGACTGTAATGCCGGTGTTTATTCGGTACACATCGATCGATTCGGTGTGCGATTTCTCAAGGATGACGACATTCTCGGATCGCGCGTGTCTGCATGATCACGAAGATTCTATATGCAGGCGTATGATACATTTAGAAATTCATCAGCTCTCCGAGATCTCTCGGGATAATTTGATACGGATCTCATTTGTGCGATAGCAGGGTACTTCTTGGAAGGAGAACCTTATCGTGATAGCGCATACATTTCCGGTCTGATGGCTGTCATCTTTTTTTTTTCACTTTCTTCCACTCAACTTTAATGATGATCGAATTCCTTTGACGGAATAATTCGAGCTTCAAAGATTAGGCCTGTCTTTTCTAGCTGAGTTTCTTCTATGCTTCATTTTTTCTCTTTTTTTCTCCAATATGGAGAGGAAAGGAGAAAAAATGAACCAGAGTAAAGAATTCAGCTAGAAAGAACAAGCCTATTAATGTCTCAAAGAAAAAAAGGGTATTTATATACCTAATATATTTCCTTGTTTTTGAACGAAGGGGAATTAATTTTCAAAATATGGATCGTCAAAAATATCAGTTGCAAACTTGTCCAATTAGAGAGCTCTAAAATAATGAGAAAGTACAGCTAATTAAAATACTTGATACTCGAAGGATTACAGAGTCAGGTTAAATATATCGTTCCCATAAATAATTCTCTTATTAAACGTAGCTTATTAAACGTAGCTTAATAAGATTGCATCTCTTTTCCGGAGCCTAGTAAAAATCAATAATTTGTTAATGAAAACCAAACTTGGTACAGAAATTTTATTTGGCACATGTGAAATGATCGGACATCGCCACACGAATATCGACAAACTTTCATTGTCAGTTTCTCGATGCATATGACACGCGTCAATCCTTATAAATGTATAGGTTTGTGCGGTATTGGTCGAAGCAATAGCGATGACTGTATACTGTCATGAAAGAATGAGAAAGAATCGACAGGGCAACGGCCGAAGGCGCGAGAAATGCAAGATAATAACTCAAAGAGACAAATAGCCAAGGATCAAAATGAAAAATAGGAAAAGCCAGAAAAATAGAGCAAAGAATAAAGTAGAATAAGGTAAATTGCATGTTGTGGAACGGAATGGTCTTCCTTAAAATCCCCGGTAAAAGCAGAAAGATACAAAGGATAGAGAGTCGTTGACTGAAAGAAATGGAGTTAACAAAAAGGACAGGAAACATATAATGTAATATGAGGCGTCGCAGGGTGAGGAGCGCAAAGTTTACTTGAAAACGGTGACAAGAAGAATCGTTGGATAATCAGTGAACAAACAGCAAAGGCATGAAGGAGGGCGAGCGGGAGAGAGAAAGAGGTAGAGCTTGGGAGAGGCAGAAGTTGTGGGTGGATATAGGCGGGTGTAGGATCAGCAGCGACGGGGACGACGGGGGATACATGTATCACCTCCACCTCGGCGTGATCCGCGTTTGCGCGATTCGGTCGGTAGCGTGCGCCGGGCGGCGACGACGACAGCGGTGGCGGTTAACGCATCTCGCCGCGACGGTAGTCGATATCCTTGCACGGACTGATCAGCAAGGGCGCACATATACGTTACGCGCTACCATCGACGCGAATCTGACTGTGAAATCCCCAAGATTGGATTGCCGCAGGTGGGAGGAAAGTGCTGTGGAGCGAGGAAGCCGAGTCGCCGTAGAGTTGCGAAGAACCTCTTCGACAGCTTATTGGGCCACGAAAAAGGGGTTGCGTCATTGTGCGCTTCGACTACAACGGCGATATTCGACGGTGGTTGTCGGCGCGCTTGGCTCGTCACACCGCGAGTGGAGAGAGGTCTCAAAAGAGGCGGTAAACTAGCATTGATCGAGGCTGGTGATTCGCCGCATGCTCATCCCGGCGGCTCCTGTAAGAGGTCAACCGCGGTGAAGGAGAAAGAGACGAAATCGAAAGAAGGGAAGAGAGAACGAAGCAAGGGGCGAGGCGAGTAAGGCAATCGGTATATATATATATAAATAGAGAACGAGGGAGAGAGAAAGGGAGATCAGAGAGTCAGGAAAACAGAGAGGCAAGGCAGATCGCGCGCGGTTGGAGCGAACAAAAGGGATATACATACCGCGGCGAGCAAGGCGAGGCAAGCACGGCTAGACTCGCTACAGAATGGCGTGGGGCTATTGGAGCGCGACTTCCGTCAGCGACCGGGGTCGGTCACCTCGCCGCGAGAAGGACAAACAGCATCAGAGTCTCTATCAGCAGCATCAGCCGCCGTCGCAGCAGCAACAACAAATGCACCAGGCGGAGCTGTCCGCGCAGAGTACTTACGCCAGCGTGCAGGAACGAGAGATCGGCGTGACCGCCTCTGGTGTGGGAGTCACGACGGAGGAACCACCCTGCAGCATGATGATCCAGGGTGGTTCCTTCTATTCATATTCGGCGGCGACGGCGGCTGCCGCGGCCGCCGCCGTGAGTCGTCGTATCTCCACCGTCGTCGAAGGTAGCGGCGGTGGTCCGTCCTCCCTCACCTCTACCAGCATGGTGTTACCACGGGAACGCCACGTGAGACCCGGCACTAGCACACATCCGCCATCGCCGGGTAGCGACTCCGCCGAGTACGAGCAGCCGCTTGTCGGTCATCTACGCTCCGCAGCCGACATCTCGCCGCCCCCTTGCATCGGTAGTCCGCCGCATCATCATCATTACCATCATCACCACCATCACGACGACATCTTCGCGCAGCCTGGTACCTCGTCCAGAGTGACGAAGTTGCTCCAGTGTCCACAGGACACCATCGAAGGCATGGACGAACTATCCGAGGCTGAGCTCGAAGAAGTGGCGGCAAATGCTGAACTAATTTATGGACCCACTGCGACATGCCGGGTGCACGGGCCGTGCAGTCAACAGCAGCTACCGCCGCCTCCAGAGTCCACACTCTCGATGACGTCGCTGCTCGACGTCGAGCCTGCGGGCCCGTCGCAATTCCAATTCAACGAGATCACCTGGGGTAGGTGCAACCGAGGATGGGATGCATTAAGGAAGAGCTCGTCTCTGGCGCGCGATCAGCTTCGCCCTTCTTCTCCTTCTCTTCCTCCTCCTTCTCCTCCATCTTCTTCTCCATTATCGTGTTTCTTTGATGCAGCCCATGATCTAGGTCAAAGTCTGCCCGTCTGTCTACCTCGCCAAGATAATACTCGCCACGTTCTTGTGAGTGTGCGATCGCGTCCGGTGCATCTCGCTCGACGCCACGACGGTCAGAAAAACGTCTTCCGGCCGCTGCATGACTCGCGGACGCCCTCCTTTTCGCCGGCTTTGGCATTTGTTGACGGAAATTATCCCGACTCCGCGATGTTTAGCGCATTGCAGTAATATAAAACTCTAAGTCGGTCACGTGAATTAATTATCGCGACTTTGTCCTCGCTAAAAGTAAGGGTTGCGCTGGTGGTAGTTGCTGTCGAGTTGTCGCTCGGTTTAGTGCATCTTTTTTTTCACGTCGTGTATGATGGATGGAGAAACTTTTTTTTAGCTATAAGCTATATCAAATTTATTCTGCCTAACATACCGCACTTTATCCGATCGCATTAATTTTAATTGATGACATAATTCACACTTCCCATCTTTCGTATTAATTTTATAATCATCATGAAAATAATTATATAGATCCATCGATTCTTTAATTTTTATATACATACATTTAATTTAAATACGTGCATATTTTTTTATTTATAAGTGTATTATGTATCTCGCATCATCGTCGTTTTGTCATAGTTTTTTGTAGCGTGTTGAGCAACAAAGGCGATTATCGTTGTCAGATGCTTTGACGATTAAATTTCATCTCTTTCTTTTCTAGCTTGCACAATCGAGGGCAACGATTTGTTGCGTCAGAGAAAAGCGTTTAGAAAAAGTAGAAAGAGCAGCTTTGCAATTTGTTGTAAGATTCTTTAATATGATTGATTTATATATTATATTTCGAGCCAGTGAGGAAATAAGAACAAGACCAAACATACCTAAATTTTTTAGAGTGGAGTCTCACTCTAAAAAGTGAAAATTGAGCTAGTTTTGAAAAAGAGTGGCTCAATTTTCAATTTTTAAGGGTGAGATTTTATTCTTCAGAATGAAATTTACTTTACAAATTTTAAAGAGTATTAAAAAATTTTACAATAATTACAAAACTTTTTTTTTCTGCTGAACGCAGTCAACGCATCGTCGTCTAATAAGTAGTTTAATTTAAAGCATGAATTAAAACTCAGCCATATTCGACTTGGTTACTTAATACTTAGCAGAAAAAATAGCTTTGCCACTGAAAATTTTTTAATATGATTTTTTTGTACATTTAGATCCAATAAGGAAACTAAGAGTAAAACCAATCATATTAAAGAATTTTGCAACAATTGCAAAGCTGCTTTTTTTATTAAATATAGCCAATATGCATTGTTGTTTAATGCTTAAATTAGAACATGAATTAGAATTTAATATTACCATATTCAACGTCATTTGACTGAATTCAGAAAAAGCAGCTTTGTCGTTATTATGAAATTCTTTAACATGATTGATTTATACATTTAGATTTATACATTTAGATTCAGTAAGGAACGAAGAGCAAAATCAATTATAGAATTGTACATACAACAATTGCAAAACTTTTTTTCTGCTGTACGTAATCAATATATGTCTAATATGTTTAATTTAGAGCATAAATTAGAACTCTATTTTCGACGCAAGTTACTCGACGATCTAGTTACGCGAAGGGTTTTCAAGTTTTAAGTACGATCTTCTCCGTTGTGCTTTCCTTCGCATGATATATGCGCCGGTGCACTTATGCACTTACCATATTATAGATCCATGCTTCGAGTGTGCCACGCGTTGTCGTTGCCGTCGTCGTTGTGGTCTTAGTAGGTGTATTCTCCATACAGTTCGTTGCACGTATCCCCCACATTAGGGGTGAGTGTACATCGTATCGTCTTTATCGTCCATCCATGTCATCGATCCTCCTCCGCGATAATTAGTCCATGAATATTTCAAGGAATTGCGCTCACCTCTCGCGCCGGCATGTTCATCTCTCGTCCTGAGATCGTCGATACGCGGCCCGCGGTGAACTCTCTCCTGTGTAACAAACGATTCGATTACGTATATTGTATCAACGGGAGAGCACCGATGGCCTCGTTAGCAAACTCGCGATCGTATGACACGCGTCGTATCTACGCAGCCCTCGCGGCTGCGCCTCGTCTCGTATTCATGTGCTAGAGGCTCTATGGAGAGAATCGCTTTAGCAAGACGTGCCATTAATTTTTCCCAACCAATGGATTCCCTATCAAATTTAATATTTTAAATTAACAGATCTCGGCGTTTCCATAATTCAGACATTTCAATTGTTAATGGACTGATAAATTGGTAATAAATTGATTATAAATCTCTGTTTTAAATGAACCGATTAATGCGCTCGTTCCGCTTGCATAATTTTGCATTATTCACTTATGAATTTATTTGACCTGTGCACTTCATATAGACGGAATCGATTTAAATTTATTTAAATCTCTTTTGGTAAATCTATTAACGAATTCGTGCTATTGATTGTTCTATAGGTCTATTGTCCGTCAACCTACATCCGATATCGTTCGAGTCTGAGGATCTATTTTCGAGTTCTGCAAAAAGATCGGCGATTTCATCTGATCGAAGCACGTGCCTTCAGACAAAAACCTTTTGTCCGCTCTCTCGTTGTGACCTTCAGTAATAGTTTCTTCGGCTTTCTTCAATCTTCCTCTCAAATCTCTTCGCGGACCGCGATGCACCAGCTGGTTCAAGTCCGAGTAGCCGCTTTAAAGCATTAAAGCGAATAATCCGAAACAATTCGCGGCTTCAATTTTATTCCACTCATTAACCGTGCTGGCTTTCATTTCTTTCCGGGGTTTCATAAAGTATTATCTACTTGCGACACACGACACAATACTTAATTGTATATTTAATCATCATTCCATTATACTGCGGGATCCTTCTGATAAAGGGCTCATATCCTCGCTCGTCCTTCATTAATTAGAATTTATATGGCGCTTGTATAACCGCTCCTAAACGGTAGAATTATTAAAGCCGACGATGTCGCGAGCAAGATTAAAAACGTTCACGGGAAATCGTTCAGGACCTTCAGCGAAGGTTTTCGCACGCGTGGTTGCGTCGATTCGCAGCTTTTATCGGCGCGAAATGGCGAGGAAATTTAATCGCAAACGCACCTCTCTCTTCTCTCTCTCCCTCTCGCGATAAGTGAGTGATAACGCGACGCTTGATGGTACGGATAGAATTCAGTGTTACTCGTTATCTGACCGTAACCGGAGCGATACTGACTAGGACACAGGCAGCCAGTACACGCAGTATGTTGGACAACGAGCAGCGAATCTCGATCGGGTTCCGGTACTCGAATTGCTTCCCGTGTAAGTTCGCATTCGACAGTTTACCGATTCCGATATAAATCTTTCCTTGACGAGATGGAAGCGGGAATGGCGTCGATCGACGATTCGACGTCTCGTTGATGAATTAAATACGCAGTCTTAATTCATCGATCGCTTTGCTACTAGGAAGCATGATTTCGCAGCATCTTCCTCTAGATATTTCTAGCTCAGCGACTTTATTATTAATTATTATTATATATTATTATAATGTAGCTATACACAGACCGTTTCTTCATCTCAGATATCGCGTGTCATAATCCATTAATCTTGTTAGATCTTTTTTTAAATTTAATTTCTTTTTATCAAAATGTGTACGATATGGGACAGTGGGGAAATGAGAATTACTGTTTGACTCGACAGTAGAAACTTCAGATTTATTTCCATTATATTTCCAAAATTTTGTTGAACGGAAGCTGAAGAGATGAGAACGTCACGTGATTTTTGATAGCAAAGCGAACGTGAATTCTTTCTGTTTTGTTACAGTTTTTCCGAACGTGCCGCCTGCTCCCGGGATGCCGTGCCAGGGAGAAGACAGTGAGTGTGTTTACTGTTCATTGGAAACGTCTCAGTCGCCGGCCGAGTCGCGCAGCTCCTCGCTTGCGCTCGATGTACATTAGCCATTGCGTACTAGCCAGCGAGTTCTAATTAACCGTTCGGTGGAAAGAAATGATTAGCGCGTGATAATAGATATGCGTAATTCCGTTATGTGCGGAAGCAGAAGAACCATAGAAGGAACATTCATCTCTCGACACCCTGCTCTCTATCAAAGCTCTCCCTTCAATTTTCAATCAATTTTCAATCACGATCTTCATGACATCGACACCTGCGTTAAAATCGAAAAAGCTCCAAGGATCCTGATCCTTCGGTGCAGCTACGAAAGATTGAACTTATATTTATCTTTTTACATATCACGTTTCATGTTCGATAAAAGACTTATGAAACATATCTATTTAGTTTGTGAATTAATGGATGACGAGAAATTTTGATTAGTTGTAGATCTATTTTTTCTTATAATAGGCAAAGAATTACGTTATATTGTAACGATTGAATTAATTTTGATTGAAATGATTTTTCTAAATGATGAAGTAAAGAATGCACATGAATGTCACTAATGCGCTGCAACGAAAAGTCAGAAACCTTAAAACACATTCGTTCCTTATATTGTACACCGCTCGATAGTCGCCGAATGGGCTAGAGATTCCATCGTGTCACGATGACCTGAGTAAACCTGGAAATAACTGCGTCAGAGTGATTGGAAAAATGCTTTTGCTCTGAATCGCGGCTTCAAGGGTGCGAATAATTCTCATCGAGGCTTCCTCAAGTCCCTAACATCGGAGCCGATATTCGGCGATCGCTCGTGTATAAAGCATGAATCAAATCCGATCAATCGTAACTCTTCTCCGAATCCTTTAGAATTGTACAAACTTACCATCATTCCCGCGTGTATTCACCGCTGCATGAAACACATTTCGCACGAAATGTTGTTATTTCCCGTTCACATCGATTCGCTTCGTTCGTTGCGATGAAGCCGCACGTTGTTCGATTGCGCGATCGGTCATAACCAGGAGAAAGGATGGTAGCGTAAAATTAATTTGCAAAGTTATTCGATATTAATATTCGACGATGAAACTTCATTACCAAAATAAAATTCCTGAACGAACCGACTGAAAACTTTATATAGATAATATAATCTACTATTATTCATCTTACAAGATATTATATAAGCGTCTCTAAAGAGAGTGCCGAGAAAATACTTGAAGAAAATTGTCACCGAAATATAAAACTAGAAAGAATAGTTAAAGTTCCATTGATTTTCTTTTTGTCAATAGAACAAATCACAAAATAATTTAATTAATTACTACATTATAGAGATTAATATTAGTAGTTCATTTAATAATTAATAGATGCTAATTGTATTTTCATTATAATGAGGTTTCATCGTCATTTGACACAGATGGATCGCGGAAGTCAATTGCGGCGAATTGATCGATCAGTTGATGCTTTCCATCATTGTGACATTTATGTTATTTCATTTTCCGAAGGAAGCATCTACAGACGTGGCGCTCGTAGATGGAGGAAGCTGTACCGAGTGAATGGCCATATTTTTCAGGCGAAACGATTTAATCGGGTAAGCATCATTCCATTTAATTATCATTGCGCAACCTGTACTTTATTCATCAGCCCCTGGTCCCTCCCTCTCGCTTTGCTCTCTTTCATATGCAATTTTTGCGAAAGTAGATCTGTCGCAGGTGCAATGCGACCGGCGAAACCGACGTTCTGTGCAGAGCACTTCCAACTAAAACTTGCTGGCTAGTGACTTCGTTGTCGACGAAGGGAACCGAAGAAAACATTGCTCTCTTCGTCTTTTCTCTCTCTCTCTCTCTCTCTCTCTCTCTCTCTCTCTACTCCTCCCTCCCTCCCTCCCTCTTTTCGACTGTGTTACTAGAAATGTAAAGTTGCCGTTCTTACGAAACTAGGTTCACGTGCAAACTCAATCTTGCCTTGCGCGTAATCCCCTCGTTTTGTTCTCATCCTCTTCCTTTCTCTAATGTACTTTACTTTACCTTAGCTCTTGGAAGAAGAGCATTTGCTGCGTTTGAGAGCGGATACTTAAACTTAATTATCATTTGTCTTAGACTTTGGTTCCGGGTTGTTTAAAGTCGGAGCGTCGCATGTGTTTATCGCTGCGTGAGGCTTAAATATTCAACTTCCACTTCGCGGAATGCCGTGATACATGGATAATTTGAGAAGTAATACAATATAATACCCTTCGTTGATTTTATTTGCAGAGAGCCTTCTGCGCGTTCTGCCAGGATCGGATCTGGGGCCTCGGACGACAGGGATTCAAGTGCATCCAATGCAAACTGCTCGTGCACAAAAAATGTCACAAGGTGGTACGCAAACCATGCCTGAGCCAGCAGCAACAACAACAGCAGAGCGCAGAGTCACAGACGATCGACAGAAATGGCGACCAACAGCTTGATCCGTATCCATGCGGCCCAGCGACTCATCTCGAGGATGAGATTACAGAATCGCCAATCATTGAGGAGCATTCGCGTGATCGTAAGTTAACTTCATTAAACATATTGGTTATGCGTTATTCAACATTTTTCATAGTAAAAGAATGAACGATATTTTTAAAGCAAAAAAAAAATAAATTTTCTGCCTATGGACATATTGTTGCAGTAGAATTAATATGTATAAAGAAATAATGCATTTATATCATTTTGTGTATTAGATAATATATCTCATTTTCTAACAATTATGTTAAAAAACGTATTTATTTTATATATGATTAAAAGATACCTTTTTAAATGATCTCTTTCTGTACTGTTGCATTTCTTTCATGTTACTAATACATTTTAAAATATTATTTATTTAATATTATTAATACATTTTTCATATTTATGATTTTGTAGGAATCGGACATGAAGAAGGGGAAGAATTACCATTGGACACATTGAACGAGGGTGATACTTCAAACGATATGCAACGACAGTATTCGTTAAACGACTTCGAATTGATTAGGGTGATCGGCCGTGGTTCCTACGCAAAGGTCTTGATGGTGGAATTGAAGCGTACCAAGAGGATTTACGCCATGAAGGTAATCAAGAAATCTCTGGTGACAGACGACGAGGATATCGATTGGGTACAGACAGAGAAACACGTATTCGAGACAGCCTCCAATCATCCCTTTTTGGTGGGCCTACACTCTTGCTTCCAGACGCCTTCGCGTTTGTTCTTCGTGATCGAATTTGTACGTGGTGGGGATCTCATGTTTCACATGCAAAGACAGCGCCGTCTTCCTGAGGATCACGCGCGGTTTTATGTAGCTGAGATTAGTCTGGCGTTAAATTTTCTACATGAAAAGGGTAAAAATTCCTTTTTTTTTGTCTTTAACAAATTGATAGGAAATTGATGGAACATGCAATTAAATTCAATAATCATTTATTTTCAGGTATTATATATAGAGATTTAAAACTGGATAATGTATTACTTGATCATGAAGGGCATGTTAAGCTTACGGATTATGGAATGTGCAAGGAAGGCATCCGGGAGGGCGACAACACCGGTACCTTCTGCGGCACTCCCAATTATATTGCGCCTGAGATTTTACGTGGCGAGGAATACAGTTTTTCAGTGGATTGGTGGGCTCTAGGAGTCCTATTATATGAGATGTTGGCAGGCCGTAGTCCTTTCGATCTTACTGGTGCGGCCGAAGATCCAGACAAAAACACTGAGGATTTTCTATTTCAAGTCATTCTGGAAAAGACCATACGTATACCGCGATCCTTATCCGTTAAGGCTGCATCTGTCCTTAAAGGATTTCTTTGCAAAGATCCGGCGGAAAGGTTGGGTTGCGGAAAGAGGCCTTCTGGTTTCCTCGACATTGTCGCTCATCCTTTCTTTAAAGCAATTGATTGGGAAATGGTAAGTATCGTAAATAAAAAAGTTTAATCAATTTAAAAAAATCTTGTTAATGCCTTCTTTAACTTCGCAGCTAGAGCAAAAACAAGTTACACCACCTTATAAGCCACGTTTGGATTCTGATCGCGATCTTGCAAACTTCCCACCCGAATTTACGGATGAGGAAGTCCGTTTGACTCCGGATGATCCGTAAGTCATTATAGAGTTTTCTAAATTTATATAATTTAAAAGTTTAATGTGTGAAAAAAAATTTTTATGAAAATTTATATGAAGTCCTTATCATATCAAGAAAATTATTATCGCCAAATAAAATTGAATGCAATATTCATCACAAGGAAATTTTCAGGAAACAAATTGAGAAGATCGATCAGAGTGAATTTGATGGTTTTGAATATGTGAATCCTCTATTAATGTCACTGGAGGATTGCGTGTGACAAGAGCCACTTTTCATTGTGCAGCGTCACAATCAAGACCAGCAACAACAGTATCAACTACAGCAATGTTACATGTATGAATTACAAGACAGGCTCGCAAAACTTCGTATCGATCCCCTACTCCCCGTTGTCGGTTCAAGCAATCAAGGTTATCACAATAACGTATTTCTTATGACGTACTCGGAGGAGAATGAGAACGACAATAATTATAACGAGCATCATCGGTTACCGCCACCCTTCCCCTTCCGATACGAAAGTCCGGCATATTCTCGTTCTCTAAGTATTACAGACGTAACTTACAACCCAGGCAATAATAATGCGATTGTTAGCAATTATGACGAGAACGACTATGACGATATGGAGGATGAGAATCCGCGAAAAGGTCTCCTGAAACAGATATTTTGCCTTCCATTAAACTAAAGCTCGATTCGAGCTTCTTTATTAAAATTTTGTGTCCACGATGCTAGAAATCGCTCCGAGACCTCAAATGGAAAACAAATTAACAATTTAACAATCACATTTGAACAATTGACCAATGCGATTTGCACAACTCTTTTTTCTTGGAGTAATTTCCACTATCGAAAACACAAAGTTTAAAAGAATAAGGTTGCCTCTGATTCGATTACTCGATACGCATTTTTGTAGAAACACTCGAGACTTACAGTATCGTTGGATGTCTCGTATATTAGGTATGGGAAAAAGTGGTGTTCGTGGTGTTTTTTTATTGCCATCTAACGGGAAAAACGCCACGAACTTTTTCCCACATAATACATAGTTATAAAATACGAAATATTTAATTCAACCTAAATATATATATATATACATATATATATATATATATATATATATGTATATATATATTATATACACATATATATATATATCTATTGTTAAGTTAACTTGTTCTCTTTCACACATGGTGCTGCGAATAGACATGTCGATGGGTAACGTTACTTTCCGCAACCTTTAATTCGAAAGCTAAAGGTGAAAACGTACCTGACTGCTTTGATCGATCTTTTAGGTATTTTTACAATACCATTTCTTTTGCGCAGCAGATTGATATTTCCAAAGTAGCGACTAACCATTCCTTTTTCTATACATGATTACATTTAACCATACATTGACGTATTTTAATATGTATGAAATGTGAATAATTTGAGTTGTAGATTAATTACATTGTGGAAGAGTCATACCAAACATAGTAATAACCTCTTTTCTTTTTCATTGACTAGCTCTTACATGTACATTTTCATTTAAATTCGCGGATAAAAGATAACGCGGATAGTAATAATATCGAGACATTGCTTTTATACGGACATTCCTATGAACTCGATTAAATCGATAATCGTTAAACTGGTCTTTATAAAGGATTAGTCGCGTATTTTTTGTAGCAACATTCCAATCCATTTTTTTTCTTATCGTGAAATTGTACTCGCTGTTAGAGATAGAAAGATACGCAGTAACAATAATTTTCTATGAAAAATGTGGTTTTTTACTTATAGGAATGTATTCTGGAAATATTTTTTACTCCGCAACAAGCTAGTTGTATTTACATGTCTACATTGATAGTGTACTTCTCGTCCAAGTGTGAGAGAGTATACCGATTCCTATAGTGTGATTAGGACAATTTTTATAGTTTTTCAAAGTAATATCAAGCAAATGTATAACCAGGCAGTACTAAAGATTGGAGTACTAAAGATTAGTTTATCTTCTTATTGTTGAAGTTACATAGATATCATCATGCACAGTATTCCCTGGATATTCATAAATTCTAATTAAGACGTGCAATGTCCGCTCTAACTTTATTCTAAACTAATCGCAAACAAATTTTGAAGCGTATTACGTCACAAGTATTAACCGTAGAAGTATTGAGAGCCACATGGGACATTTTGCTAGATTAATATACGGCTCATAAAGTTTAAGAAGATTGGGTGATAAAATGTTTTACGAAACGCGGACGTTTGCAGAATTAAATTATATGTAGACGAAAATATATCGTATATATTAGACTTACTGCGCATGATTTTTGTTCTGATGATTATAAGGCTAGATTGCTGTTAAAGACGTTAAGAAAAAAAGAAGGAAGAGTAAGATAACTACGAAGATATGGAATTATCCACATCTTGTGGATATGTAAATATGAAAAATATTTAACGTAGGGAAAAGATGTTAACGAGACAAAAAGTATATATATATATATATATATGTATGTATGTATGTATGTATGTATATATATGTATGTATACCAAATTTACATCACATAAAAGAGGAATGTAATTAAATTTCGTAATTCTCTCCGGATTCTCTCAAGCGTATGATTAAACTCAGATAAATTAGTTTCGACATTAGAACTATCTTAAAACACAATCACTGTTACACGATACTCTATCCGGCGTAAACGCGTTTACATAAAGAAGGAAGTAAGTATCGTGTAACTTGCGTTAGAGAGAATATGGTGCCAACATTCAACATCTTAACAGTATCGAATAATACAAGTATTACGCGTTGCAGAACTTACGTGATTTTTCTTTTTTTTTTTTTCAGCAATGAACCGCACTATCTTATCCTTGTGTTTGTTATCTTTTTTCCGTAAGAAGTGTGGTAAGCATAGAGAAGAACTTCATACATGAATTCCTATTGTAACATAGCGTATGAATTGAATACGTGTTATCTGCTATAAACTTAATTGTTGCAAAGGCTGCTATTATTTTATATAAACTATGACGATCCGCTATTTTTTATAGGGACGAGTCTGACGACGAATGTAAGAAAGATAACTATAAAAGTATTCTAAATAAGGAGATCCTTAGCGCCTGATGGTATCGAACAGTATATTACAATATATTACAGTATATCAGTAATATAAATCAGTATATAAATATATTCACATATTGTTGATTTTCGGCACCATATATACTGCAGTTAATTATTTAAGATACGCTTAAGTATTTGTTAAAATCTTTCTGGCAGGAATATTGTCTTTCCATAAACGGAGCACGTTGTTTTCGCATAACAATCGATATTGTTGGAGAATATAAAAAAAAAGAAACAGGCGATGTTATATCACCTATGGTCAATTGATTGTGCGTCGCATCGAGCTTCGTTTACAAATTTAATATGTGGCACAGTAACGCAGAATCACATGGAATATATTCCATACTTTGTATCGTATTTTATATTCTTTTTAAAGAATCATACAGAGCGAGTTGTAGAAAAAAACATCGAGATGAATTGTTTTTTTTTTTTATTTTTTTAGACTTTATCATCATTGATTATGAAATTTTCATGTACGCTTTGTTGTAAGAATTTACGAAATGTTATATAAGATATTTATACTCGGATATCCGAGGATCTCGGATGCTTAAATGAATGGAGAGATACGTATTCTATAAAAAGATATATATACGCGTATTATATATATATTTAAGTTAGAGCTACTTAATTTAATTGAATTCAATACATCGTTGAGAGAGAAATTATGCAGACTTTCTGCACATCCGAGCCTCGGATATCCCAAATATGTTCCGAAAGAACGGGAAGAAATTATTAGATCCATGCGAGCAAATATTGTATGAAATATAAACTTAGGGGAGTAGTGTAAGAGTCAATCATTTTCGTACTTCCTAATATGTGTGATCTTTTTATAGATCATGCGCGTGCATAAAAGAAGAAAGAAAAGTTAGGCAAAATTTTACGATTAAGAATTTATTACTGCTTAATGACAGATTTATCGGATAATACATATTCTTTCGAATAATTTTTACAAACATTTCCAGGAATTGAAATTCTTGCTTTTTATTTTATTCTTTTTCAACATTTATCAGTTTAAATGCTAGATTTGACAAATTCTAAGACAATGACTGCGGATATAATTTTTCTTTAATATAGTGCGATTTTCGGATTCTTATTTTATTTTTATTTCTGATTCAGTTTTATTTTTTATTGTACAGTATAACGTAAGAAACATTTTATTCTCTTGATTATTTCTTGTAACATTATTATATACAACATTCTCATATAAGAACACGTTACGACATTAAGATTGTTTTCTTTTCTCACTATGTATACTCAATGTGTATATATAATTATATTTATGCATGTACATAGTGTCAAAAGATACAGGTATGCATACTGATAAATAATATAACACAGAAAAGTTTATGAGAAATTATATATATCGGAGCTGTAGGTATTTGTAATATATTAACTCTAAAAACCGATAGTGACATTATAGTACAATAATTTCGAACACGCATCACTCCTAATGCTCAGTTAGTCTATCGTATGATTATGTGAAATTATAATGAACGTAATCTATACGATCCTTGTTTTATCTAATAAATCTTCCATATTCTCGTTTTTTTTTACTCTATTTTGCTCTGGATTAATTTACATTTGATCGTAATATACGTGTTCTATGTTTATATTGCAGATACAATATTACTTAATCGTATTTTATAGACATAACTTCATTGCAGAAAATATTTTATCATATATATACATATA